TGTGTGTGTGTGTGTGTATAAGGATATATAATTTTGTATAATTTTATATAGCAACAGTATTTATAAAAATCGTATGACAAATTGGAAAGAAAATTTTCTGACGCGTTTCATTCCTTTTCTTGATGTTGTCACGTTTACACATGCGCACAAAACGAAAGATGCTGGGAGTTTCAAAACTTTGAAAGTTTTTTTTTTAATTGATCATACTATTTTTCTAAATATATATATATATATATATAACAGGCTGATGGAAAGTAACTATCTATTTTATGTATGATGGATTTTCCCGTCTTGTAAAAATTATAGACGGGAGAGTCCATCATACATCAAATAGGGAGCTACTTTACAATTGCCCTGTATATATATATATATATATATATATATATATATATATATGAGACTAGCAATGTGACGTCTTGATGTTATCAATTTGTGAAGAGGATCTCAGCGACACCTTTGGAAGATGCCCAAAAAGCGTACCACAGGTTGACCCAAGTCACGTTAGCGAAATCATGTACAAAGAACTCATCGGAAGTCGTTGTCGCGAAAGCAGGAAGTGACAAGTCATTGTGACCGAGGTGCAAAGGCCTTTTGCCAGGCATAGGTTCTTCCAGCAGCCATCCTCTTGACCCAGATCAGCACTAACTTCTCAGGCTTCCGTGTTTAGTCTGAGGCCCTCACCAACAAATTAGAGAGTTATTTTCTTATAAGAACGATCAGAGTGAGTTTTCCGAGCTGACGTCCCTTCATAACCACCATTAGGCTCATCCAACTATTTCCGAAGTCTCTGTACTGTCCTCATATTAACACCTAAAACACTCTGAAATGTTTGTATTGGAGTTTCCGATGCGAATGCCAAGCAGTACAGCATGCCTTTTCCAAATTTCTGGCGGAGTGAATTGCGTCATGGTGCTCCTTTGCTGACGGGTGGTAACCAACTGACTGTACTATACTGTGCAATCGACAAAATCACAAAACAAACAACGCGCATGCGCGAAATTAAAAATATAAACGGAGACAATTTACCTGTATTGATTCAAGTTTCCCATGAATTGCAAAACCCCCAAATCGACTTGCGAATCAACGAAGCATGAACGGAAATAAGTCGAATAAAACACTTTTGCCGAAATGTCGTATAACCCAGCCTCCGCCCGCCCAGTCCTAGCTGTCGATCATAAATCCCGACACTCCTGCAGCCGTTGAACAACTTACGCTATCCTATCCCAATCACCGCTCCTATGTCCCCCTTCATAAAAACAATCAAACGTGACAATTCAACTGAACTGTCTCGGCCGACTTAAATCATAAATCAAACAATGTCTCCCTTTCTATCCTTCAGTCTCACCTTCTTTAATCTTTTTTTATTTTCATTTGCTGATTGGTTTTGCCCTTACGAGAGAAAAAAAAATTATCGGAGCATTTTTTTTTTTCTTCTTTAGTCTCTGTTGCAATATCCAATCCTATCAAAATTCTCCTTTAATTCTCTAGATGGATTTTATGATTCTCACTTTTTCTTTTTTTTTTTTTTTTTTAAATTTTGTGATTCTGGTAATTTTTTGTCTGAACTTCTACGATGAGATGTTATCATTATTTACGCTATTTTAAATTCCCTTTCTCAGAGACAAGATGTCGTAAGACTCTCCTTGCTCTATCGCTATTTCCATGGAAAATGTTCAGTTCAACTACATTCCTTAAACCCACCAGTTCTAAACTTCACAGCTAAGACCATGCACATTGTAACGAACCCTCATTCAATTCCTATTCCCCTAGCCGGATGCAAGTTCCACTCAAGCAGATTCCACCTATCAACCGTCGCATTGTAGAACGGACCCCCCAAGAGATTGCTTCCCTGATTACTACAATCTTAACCTGTTCAAGTCCAGGTTTAACCATCATCTTCCACACACATCTGCATAAGCTGTGCCTCTTGCTCTGTAACACTCTATTTTGAGTGGCCCTTGGGCCTTTGTTACTTAGGAATAAAGTGTCGCTGCTGACACTTGAGTTTGAACATAGATCACCAGTGAGTAAATACAGGCGATCCCATTATTGAATTAAGTGGATCACGTGGTCATAGAGGAGGTCGTGTGATGTCTAATTGATCGTCATTTCTAGTCTATCCTCTATTACTATACGGATCTCCATTTCCACTCTATCCTCTATCATTATACGGACCGCTATTCTCTACTCTATAATGAATACTCTATTCCCTATACTATTTCTCTATTCGGATCACTATACGGATTACTATTCGAGCGAGTATTATCGAGCAAGTACTATTAGTGCGGGATTATTCGAAGGCGTCTGACACCAGTATTGTTCAACGGCGTTACTATAGTTGTATCTGCGATTACAAAGTCTCTACTACAACGAGCATTACGAAAGTGACAACGAGTATTCGTTGACATCACAAAAGTGATAACGAGTGTTAATTGACATCAGCCTTGTAAAGGGAAAACATCACTGTAAAAAAAAAAGAAAAGAGGAGGACCATAGTCCAAATGTAAATACTGTAAATAATTTGTTGTGGTAGTTTGCTTCCTGGTATTTTGTAAATTTTTGTTAGTAATTTTCATTTTTCTTACTTTTGATGCCCTTTTGTAATTTTGTGTTTTTTTCTTTTTGAATTTTAAATCTGTAACTTTTTAATTGTCCGCTTTTAATTTAAATTCTGTCAGTATGTAAATTTCCTTTGTAAATTTAACGTTGCAATTTTTGAATTTTACATTTTATGTTTTAATTTTATGATTGTGTAATTTTAATTTCTTCTCCTCTTACAATTTTCCATTTTAATTTTAATTTTTTCCTTTTGAAATTTTCTATTTTTAATTTTATTGTTTTATTTGTCGTTTTTCACTGTATAATTTTGTTTTAGTAATTTTTTGTGAATTTTAATTTTCCATTTTGAATTTTTTTATATGTGATTTTCTAAATTTTTTATTTTAATTTTTTTACTTTTGAAGTTTTCTATTTTTAATTTTATTTTTTTTATTTGTCGTTTTTCACTATAATTTTGTTTTAGTTTTTTGGGGGGGAATTTTAATTTTCCATTTTTAAATTTTTATGTATGATTTTCTTTTTTTTTTTTTTAAATTTTTCTTTTGTAATTTTCCATTTTTAATTTAAATTTTTCTAAAACAAATTTTAAAATGATAAAAGATACGATGCGCATCCAATCAGTTTTAATGAATTGGAGCACCCATCATTTAAAATGACAAACTATGCCATCCCGAGCCAATCGAACACTACGCCTCCCACCATTTAAAATGATAAACCACGTCATTAACGACCAATCGATCACTGTATCGATATAAATAACTACTAAATCCAGATGACTCTTTTAAAAGTTCTGGATCGATTTTACACGCATCGTTATTATGAACTGAACTTCCACTTTTAAAAATGGTAAAATAGACAATATTTTTCGGTTCTGTTAAATATCGTGTCTAGAAAATTTTTCTAATGAATGCTATTCAACAAAAATTAGACACAAAAATTCCACTTATTTTCCGACTGAACAAATTCCTCTAAGTAGTAACGGCCATATCAAGTTGAAACATCAGTTCCCGTATAATCACCGAAGTTAAGCAACGTTGAGCCTGCTCAATACCTAGATAGGTGACTGCTTGGGAATACCAGGTGGTGCAAGTTTCGATCTGCGGGTGGGGTAATGGATAACGGCTCCCAAATTGAAATCAGTGAGCCGAGTTCCAACTCCAGTATATTCTCAGATTCACTGATGCGTAAATATTCTTGGGGAAATGTATGGATCTATCTCTCATCCTCGCAGCTATAGTTTAATTACTAGGACGTGTATCAGTAAATCATTATTATTTCCTAAAACATCTGACAATCTAAAAAAAAATTTCTAGTTTTAAATAACCTGCAAAGGGTTGATATACCGTAAAAAAACAAATCAATCAATAATCCCGCCATAATAATCACTTCGTAGTAACTTAACGTCTTACGTAAGAATTTGAATGAATCTCTGAATCAAGTAATCTTAGTAGAGTTTCGATTTTGTTTTCTATTGAGTACTAAACCTCTTGTGTTTGATTTTCATGCGCTTTTGTCCTGGAGAAATAAATTTTGGATTGTGAGGCTAATATAAAAAGGGTAATATTCGAACATCTCTTTTTTTTTCTTCTTTTTTTCCGTTATAGCTGGAAATAGCAGGACGCATTTACTGCCACAAAGAGCAGATTTAAACCATGAAATTTACTTACAATCGGCTCTAATGAGTTGGGTTCGTCCTTCCAACGCCCTGATCCAACATGTCGCCTGCCCGGTTATTTCAAAATCAGAGATTATTTAAGAGAATAATATAAAATAAAAGGAAGAGGAAGAGACGGTCAAGAAGAAAGAAGTATTTAAAAAGGAAGTGGGGGGAGAAATATGCTAATGAAAAATAAGCTAATGCTTTTGCCAGTAAGGAAAAGAAAGAAGAAGAGGAGAAGAAGAAGAAGAAGAAGAAGAAGAAGAAAGTTTATAATGTGACTAGAGTAAGTAGAAAAAAACGAAAAATAATCTAAATGTTTTGAATGAAAAGAAGAAAGATAAAACAACGACGACGATGACGAAGAAGAAGAAGAAGAAGAAGAAGAAGAAGAAGAAGAAGAAGAAGAAGAATGTTTATAATGTGACCGGAGTAAGTAGAAAAAAATGAAAAATAATCTAATGGTTTTGAAAGGAAAGAAGAAAAAGACGACGACGACGAAGAAGAAGAAGAAAAAGAAGAAGATAGTAATGAAATTAAAATGAAAAAAGAAGAAAAAAAGAAAGACAACAAATCAATGATAATTTTGAGACGAGAAGGACGAGATGACAAAAGAAAAAAATGCTGAAAAAGAAGCTTCCAGACGACAAATAACTTAAAGGAAAATATGAAGAAAGCGAAGAAATATATGGAGAAATCTAAAATTCTTTGGAATAAGGAAGAAAGAAAAAGAGGAATTAAACCAAAAAAGGATTAGAAATACGATAACAGATAAAGAAGAGAAGGAATCGAAAAAATTATGCAAAAAGCAAACAACCAACAAAAACTACTGCAAAACATTAAAGAGTTCTGCTAATGAAATGTTTGGGAAGAACAAACGATATTTTTTTCAACATTGATTCGTTTTGGCCTCTCTCTTTCTCTCTCTCCTCTCTCTCTCTCTCTCTCACCCTCTCAATCTTTCTGTCTCTCTCATATATATATATATATATATATATATATATATATATATATATATATATATATATATGTACGAGGTATTATCGAAAAGGTTACGCAGCTTCTAAAAAATCTGATCACATGACGAAATATTTTATTTTTTGCAGGTGGGAAGAAATTTTGGTTGCGCTAAAAGCTTTTCATCACTTCCACGTCATCTAGTGTAAAATGGTACACATAAAAAGAATAAAATTATATATATATATATATATATATATATATATATATATATATATATATATTAAATTGAATCAAAGTCTTAACCACCCACGTAGTTACTGTCATTTTTTTTTTACCTGAAATTGACCTTGCATATGGTTCGATCTGTCAGATTCCTCAAAATGTTTGGGTCAGATGCACTAACAAAGAAAATAGATTGATCGGTAAAAATTTTGTTGTGTAAAATTAAAAAAGCAGTCCGAAAAATTCATATTTTGTAAACTCCACCAACTACATAGTTGCGTTCGCCTTAATCTCGTCCACAGTCAAAGAACTTCATTTCAACTGCAACAGAGAGATAGAAAGGTTTAATAAAGAATATTTCTTTCCCTGTCGTTGCTGCAGGTGCTTCCCTTGTTTAATGCCAAAGCACGCCTGAATGGATCGTTGATTCATTTTAATACGGCTTTGCAGATTATTTGCAGCCAATAGATAAGAATGTTTTTGAGACGAGGATTCATACGTTTCCCACGGATATTTACGTGTATCGAAATATAACGAACCCAACGGTAAATGGAACTCGGCTCTATGATTAACAATTCCAAGCCATTATCCGTTACACCACCCGCACATCCAAGCTTACAGCACCTGGTATTCCCAAGCAGTCACCCATCTAGGTACTGACCAGGAACAGCGTTGCTTAACTTCGGTAATCGTACGAGAACCGGTGTTTCAACGTGATGTAACCGTAACCCTACGTTTGGTGTGTAAGTATTTACTCTTATGAAAAAAATGGGATATAGTTTAGGGAGGTACAATTTCTGCATTAAAACTTTCAATCTCTATGTCAGTAGACATTAATTTTCACTGTTTTAAAAACAGGGATGCCTAAGCAAACATTAGTACCCACGAAATATAACGTTTATATTGATCAAAAAGAAAGTGTCCAATTTTTAAGGAAAATCAATAACAAGTGGAAAAACATGGTTTGTGTAAAGCGTTTAGGGCTTTGTCAAACTAAACTGATTTTGCGTTGATGTAGCTGCGCATGCGCACAAAGAAGAGAGAACGCTAAAATTTTAATTTTTTAATTTTTTTTCTTTATAAAATGCGTATTTGGGTAAATAGTCACGTTAATTTCATTTTATTTATTTTTGTTTTTATCTCTCTTGATATTAAGTATCCAACCTTGTGATAATAAAAGATCCGCCCCCGCCCCAACAAAAAAAAGGTGAAACTATGTAAGAACCTGGATTCAAATTTAAGGTGGATGATCTATCGATTAAATCACTTTCTATACACGTTCGTCTTAGCAAATTGCTTCCTGTTTATTTCTTAAACCGAAATTGTGAACGATTCTGGTATTTAAAAATGTATATATCATTTTCTCCCATATATATTTCTATATCTATTTCCTTAATAAATCATTTTTATCACAAGTTATCTACCATCGCCTGAAGAAGTACAATCTTACAACTGAAACATGGAAGATTTTTTTGTGTAGTGATGTAAAATGGTTTTATTGTAATTTATTATAATAAAATATTATAATAATACTTTGCTCTACGAACTGTTGATTTTACCGTCTGTCTATTCTTTTCTCATTTGCATATATATATATATATATATATATATATATATATATATATATATAATGGACTCTCCTGTCGGTTTCGACGTATGAGGATCTGCCAGCTTATTGATTCAGTTATGAAAGTTTATGCGATAATCTTAAGTGGCATTTAAGACCCGCTAGTGATTTTAAAGGAGGTCACATATGGAGCAGGTGAGAATTGTGAGATGAGATCACTGTTAGATTGGTTGACCTTTTAGATCTTGCTTTCGCTTCTTGAAGATGATTCAGACAAGCGGATTGAAAATTGCGGAGTCCCATATATATATAAAGTGAACATTGAAGTCAACACTCAGAGGTGACAGGCTGTTTCATGCTAGACGCAATCGTCAGGCCGCTAGCATGAAACAGCCTGTCGCCTCTGAGTGTTGACTTCAATGTTCACTTTTATATTTACATTTACATACGCTCTATCTCTGATATTGAGCACTTTATCCCATAAATATAGCACACGTTAAAACTATATTTTCTTATATATATATATATATATATA